GCATCTTGGGGAAGAATCATGTCCCAGCTTCAGGAAGCAGACTGAAAATGTGCTTGGCAAATAGGCAGTCTGCTAACTGAAGTCTAGGACACAGAGGAGAAGGGGTCCCTGGGCCTGGGAGAACTGGGGACAGTTTTCAGAGCAACAAATCAGTACAAAAGGATTGGGGGGAAATGCTGAGAAATTTGGAGGGGGTGTCTTTCAGTTTGTACCCGGTGGTCTTTGTATCTCTGAGCCCCAATAAATGTCTGTTGACTGTATTCAAGTGCCTTTTCAGTCTGTCCTAGTGATATATTACTTGTTTACTGCTTCTGTTTTGGCCTCTATTTCCACTAGGCCTCTTTCTGTTTGTAAGCCAGTTCCATCAACTTCTTAAGAGGGCCTAAAGAATGTCTACTGTATACGAGCACTTGGTGATCTGTAGTGCAGATGCATGGTGCCTTCATGAGAGAACAAGACACATGGAGGTGGCGTATTATTATCTTTTTCTTGTAGTACCCAGAGTGAATAATTATGTCCTGTCAGGTATAACCTGGCCAAATTAGAGAGAGTCTGTGTGGAGACTGCCATGTCGTCCTCTTACTCATCACATCATGCATCACATGAATTTTTTATGTGAAGGAAAGTGATCTAATGGTCTTGACATTGAGTGAAGAGTAGAGTCAGCCTCTATTGTTTTCTGGACCTTGTCTTCTCCGGTTACTCTCCACCTCACTTTGTTCAGACAGAATCTTTTACTGAACCTCCGTTGAGCCTACTGACTCAGCTGGACTGGCTCACTAGCCAGCTCTCAGGACTCACCCGTCTCCCTGCCCTCTCTGCGCCAGCACCGGAGTTACGGGTGTACACTGCCGTGCTCAGCTTTTGTATGGGTCTGGGGATCTGAACTCAGGCCTCACACTTGTGTCGCAAGTGCTTTTCTGAGTTGTCTCATGGGCTCCATTACAATATACTCTAAAAGGGAGTTAAATTGAGGCCAGCAAGACAGCCGCATGGCATAGCTCAACTAGGATGTGATTTCTTTTGTTTGTCTTTCCTAAGTAGAGTAGTCTCTTGGAGTTGAGTATAAGTGAAGATATAAATGGGCTTGGAAAGATATCAGGAGGTCACAGGTTTTCCTATAGAATCTTGTATCTCTAAATAGCACCTCGCTCCTGAGACTGTTTCTGATACCTGTTCACAGAAAAGACACTGATGTGTTAGACTCAGAAAGACGAGGAGTCAACCAGTACTTTAATCTCAACCTCTTACATACTTTCCACCATTTTTTTAAAATCAAAGCACTTAGAATCCACTAGGATAGATTAGGCTCCTTTATCTGAAGATGCATGTCTCCTCCAGAAGCATTAGGTGTTTAATTAACATCTTGGAAACTGTGAACTGCCTAGAACTTTCTAGACTATTTCTGCACACCTCTTAGGTTACCGTAGGTTATTATAGTTCAGTTCTAAGTCAAACCTTTATGATTCTGGAAACTAAAATAACTTGTTAATAGCCAATGGCAAGTCAGTGCAGTTGAGAAGTGAATCTAGATCTTCAGAAGACCATCCTAATCTACCGTTCTACAGGCTAACACTTGTCTGGGCACACGTGTCTCGGCCCATCTGTCTGCCTCCACTTTCTGGAGGTTGACTCAGCTTTTCTGTGGTGCCTACTTTAGTCATCGGGTCTCATTTCTGACCTTCTGCCCCATCTGTCCTGAATGTGCAAGCAAAGCTCTTTGCCTCTCTGCCAAAACTGCCTGTCCGAGAGTCCCAGGGTTTCCTTCACCCCGGGACCACCGTCAGAGACGATACCCTCAGCGTTCCCTCACTTTTTCTCCAGACAATAGGAAGTATCCAGAGGCCATTCCTGAATGCCGAGCTGTCCACTAAGAAGACCAACTTGCTTCTTCTAAGACGCTTCCCTCAACCAGTCCTTTCCAGCCTTCCCTCTGGTCTCTTGACTAGTTTCCGAAGAGTTCTGCAGTCGTGTGCAGTTTTCTGTTTTCTGTCCTCTAAAGCGCCTGCAGTCCCTGGACCTTGAACCCGCTTCCTTCCCAGCTCCCCTGCTTTCAAGCCATTCCCCTGGCACTTCAGGTTTTGGTTCTGCTCAGTTTTATCCTTCCTTTGGAAGATGTTTTGACCTTCAGAGGGGCTGCCCACCGCCAGGTCCTTCTGTGTGCTACCACCTTCTTTCTTTACTCCAGGCTGCTTAGGATTCTGGACATCGACACAACCAAGGTTGTATTTTGTTGTATGCAAA